TACGTGTCTGATACCAACTGATAGAGAAGCGGAAGCTATGAGAACAGAGATTCAACAAGAACTCAATGGAGAACTCAAAAAACTGACGGAAACTTGATGAGATGATACTCTCAACGAATCAAGGGTACTTTGAGGTTGACGATGCTCTCGACAAGATCAAAGAAAAAGGCTAGAGTACTCCTCTAAATGTTAAAAGTTCTGGTTGCAATTTCAATTTTATGTTATAAAACGTGTATCCTTACAAAGAAGAAAGCTCAATATATAAAATAACGTAATCGGATCCTAATCTCAAAAGGATTCATAACTATCCAACACAAATAAAATAAAGAAAAGGAAAACAAAACATTTAACGACAGTGTAAGCCTTAATGACGCTTACGGCCCAAGTAACCCATGATCCGCTACATCAGTATCAAATTGGTGTTCGATCGTGTATCCAATTTTATGTTTATATCGAGTATTCAGTTTTCTGTTTAGTTATTAAACCACTGACAGAAAAAAAAAAAAAAGGGAAACTGTTTTTTTAGACCACATAGGTTTGGACATTGTCCATTTAGTCTAAATTATATTTTGTACCAATTTTGACTCTAATGCCCTTTATTTATTTCCGAAATTATTAAAAAAATAGATTTATGAAGCAAAAAAAAATTAAAAATAGTACATAATGATGAAACCCCTATATCTATATAGTGATATTTTTTTCCTGTTTTAAAAAATGTGTAAATAATAATTTCATATATTATTCTACCGAAATTAGAATCCATATTCTACGGATTAGAATACGGAATCCACTTTTTTCACTATTTCTACGAACTGCAGAATATGTTTTCTACGCAGATAACACGAATCTAAAATAGTTTGGAATACACATTCCACTCTTATCATAGAGTTCTAATAAAAGTAGAAATCGAAATCTAAATTCTTACTTAAATCTAAAACTAGTAGAAATCGGAATCTACATTGTTACAACGTTCTAATACATGTAGAAACTGATTTCATATCTCTTAACACAGTTCTACCTTTAGTAGAATCTGAATTCTACGGATAAATATTATTAGATCCGAAAATATAGGAAGAATATATTAGGAAATATTCGGTTTCCATATTTAAAATTCAATTTTTTTTTTTTTAAAAGAAAATTCAAAGGCAAAAACGTTTTGCTTGGGCACAGGATCGATCGATCTCACCTAGGGGATCGGTCGATCCAGAACGATTGATCTGTACGATCGATTAGACTCTGAGAAAGTCAAAAAAAAATCGCGAAATAGTGTGGTTTAGGCCCAAGAATCGTCCAAATCAGAGCAAAACTGAGTGAGTTAGGGTTTATGAATGAGGAACCTCCATTGTCTACCTTTTTACGTGATGCAGAGAAGAGAGTGATGGGTTTGATCCCAAAAACACGAATTAGTAGGTTAAATCGTGTTTACTCAGTTCAAATCAAATGTGAATTAAACTAGATATAATCGGAAAAAACCATGAAATTGAATTGGATGAATTAACTGGGATCGGGATCGATCGATCTTTGGTAGATCGATCGGTGTAGATCGACTGAACTTGAAAAGGTCGATCAGTTTCTGCTTCGTGCTTTTTTATGTTTTTGTTTAATCATCGAGATCGACCGCTGGGATCGATCGACTCTTTACGGGATCGATCGATCCCGTCATATAGAGCAGTTTCTTTCATTTTTTTTTTCGATTTGAAGATTTTTATTTTTTGTACGATTTTTAATTGAATTTAAGGGCATTATTGCCATTTAGAAAATATTTAACCTAATGGGACATAAAGTACTAGAGGCTAGTCTAAAGGGACAATATCTAAACCTATTTGGTCTAAAAAAATTTTCTCAAATAGTTTTTTTAGACCAAATAGGGACAATATCCAAACCTATTAATGCCTTAAATTACACACACAGCTTGCGATGGTTAATGCCTGCCCCTTATTATTTATCAAAACGGTTTATGATCGGTTAACCTCAAATTTACCAAACCGATTTATGATTGGTTAACATCAAATTTACCAACAAATCTACCCGGTCATGGAAAGCTCTAATCAACCCCGAATCATATATATACTAATGGTTATGGGTAGAGTTGTTGAACCGCCTTGTTATAATGAACCGGGTTTTCTAACAGAAGGATGAAAGAAGAGCAGAAGGTAACCATACCTCGCCTTTGATATTGTTCATCATTGAGATCATCTCTTGCATGAAGTCACAGAAATCCTAACCACAGCAATTTCAGTTCATAAACAAATATGAGGTTTGAATGGCAAATTCTAGAACAAAAATGACCAATTAAGAAATAAATCAAAAATCAAGAAATTTAACAGACATATTTTTGACATGTTCATATTGGATTTATATGGAGGGTTACAGGGGCAGATCCACATGTTAGATGATGGGGTCACATGACAACACAAAATAATATAATTTAGATTTTGTAAGCTATGTTTGTTAATTAACTATGACAATTTGGTTGGAAATATTTTAAAATGAACCCCCAAATATGGGTTCAACTTTCCATATTACATTTTTAATGTTTATTTTTACCCCCACATAATTTTTGTCTTAGATTCCCCCCTAATGGATTAGTCTCTGGTTTTCGGAGTTTTAGTGAGTTGAGGTCATTTTGTGACCTGCTTTTGGAGCTCTTGTATTGCTCTCTTGTTGTATCTTTGATTGGTTGAATTTTTCTCTTGTTCTTGTTCATTATTTTTCGTTCTCCTTCTACTTGTTTCGTTTTAATGCCTGTCTGCTTGTTGTGTGTGTTTCGAATATTCAAAACCCAGAACATCATTCACCGTTGATTAATGTGTTTGTTAGTGGACTAGTAGTTATCTATACTATTAAAAGAGAAAGAGTTTAAATAAATTTTCTTGTAAAAATTGTTTGGACTATTTCCTTTTAATTTTTTTGGACTTCCCATTTATTTTCTCTAACCATAGAACATTATTATTAATGGCCATATTAATATCAACTAAAGCAATTTTATTCTCCCCATGATTATATTAATGTATCTTACTAATAATTTAATACCTTGATAGAGTTTTTTTTTTATTTTGTTAATAAAAATGACAACTATATGATGATTTCGATACAAACATTTTAACTCTTAATATAACTTTTTCAATATCAAAGATAAACCTCTAACTCATGTTTATCTGTATGTTATTATTATTAACTAGACATTTACAAAATTTCGGCGTGCGTCGGTTCTTTTTGGGTCCGACTATCAGATCCAAATTTAAATAAATGTAAAATACATGTAAATGATTTCTGGATACATATAACTTATACAGTCCAAATCGATTCAGAAATTTAGGGCCCGTAAAAAGATTCAAAGAATCTGAAAACCCAAATTTTATCTGAAATCTGACCAAGAGAAACAAAAACTACCAAAATTTTATCTGGATACCAAAAATATATTTCTAAAAATTGAAATTTTATTCGAAACCAAAAAATTAGTACCAAAAATCTGAACTCAACATTTAAAAAATTATGTAACACCGAATACTTATTTGAAATAACGAGATATACCTAATATACGCAAAATGTTTTGGGTATTTTAGATGCCCGATTGGACCTCAGATAGAACTTAAACTCAAATAGAGATTCACAGGTCCAGAAAAATACCCAATATGTTTTTATCATGGACCCAACCGAACTGAACATGTATTTTCAAGTCGGTTTCGATTCAATTTTTTGAGTCTGAGTAAAATGTTGAGGCCCAAGATTCTAAGAGAGAGTTACATAAAAACGTACATACAAAATCTCAAATACACTAATTCGTAAAATGTATATATAATTAAAAAAAAACTTTTGCTTCTATATAATACGACTTTGTAAACAAATATTGTATAACAAACCAAAATTTTGTTTATTATTCAAAAAAAAGTGCAGGTCAAAATCTTGATATATATATATATATATTGCAAAAATTACAAATAATGCAAATGGTTGATCAAATTTTACGTACAAAAAGTTATTTATTCTTATGCAAGTCAAATATATATTGATATATCAAAAATATTCTTTTCAGTAGATTAATAACAGTCTTGCATATTCTTTTAAAGGTTTTTTTGTCATATTCATTTTATTTTATTCTAGCCTTACTATATACGAGTAAATGGATCTATCGATACGACTACAAGTCTAACTCAGGAATGAAAATACAATGAAAACATTCGACTAGAGTGAAATAACAATAATAGAACATCTTTTAAATAATATATATAATAATAGTTATAAATTTATTTAATATTTGTCTTTATGGTCAACAAAAAAAATATCTGTATTTTTTAAACGCGGGTCAAAATCTAGTGGAGTTTTAAATCTCTTGCAACACCACATTTTAGGCCCTATTCCCGCACCTTAGTTTTGTGTTTAATTCCTTTGATAGTTAAATCTTTGTATTCATGATACCTTGATTTCAGTCTTCTATGTTGACCGGCCGAAGCATGATTGCATGAACTAAACAAATCATTTCTTATGATACCAAGTTTTGAAGGCTTAAAAAGAGCAAATGAGAGAAAAAGAAAGACATGAGAACCAAAAGAGACCATGTATGAAAGTCAAAAATCGAGTTCCTCAAGATCTAGTTTCCCACATGACACTCTTAATAAATAAAAAGCTGTTGTATCATAATAAGACAAACTAAGGAGTCTTCAGTCGGTTCAAACTTCAAACAAATGAATCAATACGTGACATTTCAACTGGTAAAGGATCCTAACCATTGTGCTAGAGGTCTCCGGTCTAAGTGACCATGGGAACGAAACTAATATTATATGTTTTGGTTTCGACCCTAAACCTCCTGATTAAGAAAAAACTTTGAACAAGTTATGAGGTAAAGAATCATCGGGGTCCCTTTGCAGTACAAGATTCAGTCGTTTTTGTTGAGTGAGGATACATATAAATGATCAACATCCTTCCCACTATTATCCATTCAAACATGAGATGCTTCCAAGAAGGCATTCATCACCAAATCTTCATTTCATGAATAACTACCGTTATAAGGAACAGGATCCAAAGCTTATAACCAAGAAACGAGTAGATATATTAAGATTCAGAGTCTGTAAGACAACATTCGTTATTTCCCTTACATGTAGCCCTTACACAAGAAGTAGCATGTTTTTAATGGCAACAAAGAGATGACCATATCAAATTTTGGGGGCTTCATTAGGGCATACAAAACTATATTAGAGGATGCATATATAAATGTTGAGTAGGCTTACACATAGTATCTATACAGAGCCATAACATTGAAAATTAAAATACAAAATGGACAAGAAACATTATGAGAATATTATTTATTTTAAAAAACAGCCATGGACTTGCTTGATTTTTTTGTACTCTTGGCTTTGTTAAATAGAGAACTAAAACCCATGGGGATAACAAATGTGTGCGGTTGATGGTAACCCTTAAAAATCTAAAGTATTTTATGCCTTAAGATAACCCTTGTGTTCTAAGTATGCAACAACTGTTTCAGCCATTTCGATCGGTGAAGTTCCTGTTCCTTCTTGCCCTAGAGAAATCTTGATAATAATAAAAACAAGAACATAAGGTTAAGATGAGAAAAACTCAGGATCGAGATCAAGAACCAAAGTGAGATATTTTACCTCGCAATTCAATGGAGGCTCGTAGGGGTCATCAATCCCCGTAAAACCTTTGATCTTTCCAGCACGAGCAAGCTTGTAGAGACCCTTTGGATCTCTAGCCTCACAAACCTCAAGGGATACATCCATGAACACCTAATTTTAATCAAACACACTCAACGCTTGAAACTTCCAATACTAGAGAACTACAAAACAAAAAAACCTTGTAGTTTCTCAAATTATTACCTCAACAAAATCTCCTTCAGGAAGCAAAGCTCGACAAGCGTCCCTGTCTCTTCTGTACGGAGAAATCAAACTCGCAATGCAGATGATTCCAGCGTCCGCAAAAAGCTTAGCAACCTCACCGACTCTACGAATATTCTCTGCACGATCTTCAGCTTTAAAGCTGAGATCACGGTTTAAACCATGCCTTACGTTATCACCATCAAGAATATAACAAAGCTTTCCCTTTTGGTACAGCTTCTGGTTCAAAGCACAAGCTAAAGTACTCTTCCCTACAAAAAAATAACATCATAATGTTTTAGTTATTTTCACATAAAGTTTGCTGTTTTCTGAAACGATGGATTGATTGGTATGCGAACCTGAACCACTAAGACCAGTAACCCAAATAACACATCCTTTCTGGTCAAGCAATCTCTGTCTATCAACTTTCTCAACAGGACACTCATGCCACTTTATGTTCGTCGAGTTTCCGACCGTTGACAATGGTCCTTGCTTTTGTCCTAATCCAAACACACAATTGAGAACATCAATTACAAAGAAACCGGTATGTTTTATGTCTTAAGCGAATCAAAACTAAAAAGACAATCGAACATGTTCTTGTCTTTTTTTTTTGTAAGCATTAAATTAAAAAAAAAGAAAAAAGACAAGAACATGTTCTCAAGTCAAGTCCTTTTCCTCAAAACTGGGAACCCATTTTGAGAAATTGAATTTTACCTATGTGGCCATTAACAGCTTTAAGCTCAGGAACAGATCCGTTTTTGTTATGGCTAATCGTTTGGGATCCGTCCATGGAGACACAAGCACGAAGAACACCAATAGATCTTGAGTTGCTGTCGGAAACTCCTCTGGGCGATGCAATAGAAAGCCCTAGCATCGATTTAGCTCCGGCGGCAATCATGATTGGAATCGGAATCAGAAGAGAAGAAATTGAAGAACGAGAAGAAAGTCAAGTTTTATTTTTTGTTCTTTGTTATTTGTTGAGAGGTGTGTGAATGATGGAAGTTTGTTTAATTAAGAAAAGGTTTATAAAGAGAGATGATTGGGTAGGTGAAATGAAAATGTTGTTGGCTCCCCACGTTTTTCTTCAATCTCTCTTTCTATAGTTTGGTTATCGCAGCAACGATGTCGTTTCCGTGCTATTATTGCTAAGCTAATAATGTACTTAACATGGATTTGCATCTACATTCTTAAAATCTGAATAGTGTGTGGTACATGTTAGAGAGAGAGAGATGTAACAAATAGGTTTTTATGCTAAGAAAAGATTTCTTGTTACCACTTCATAAAACTTCTATCTTTCTATCAATTCTATGACATGGATACTTATTTTGATTTTCTTAAAGGTTATCCTTATTACCATGCGACCTGTAATTAATTTGTATAAATATTTATACGAGAAAATAATTAAGAAGAAGAAATCAAAAGATTCATCTATTTTTCTCTTTTAAGAAATATATTATTCACTGATGATTTTGAATTTAAATGAATTTTCATATAATTTTAGATTAATTAGGAAGTTATTTTTTATTTTTTTTAAATAAAGTTTTATTTAAAACCACATACTGTATTTTGAATTTTCTTTATTTATTTTATTTTAACTAAAATTCTACCAAAATACTTTACAAGTCAAGTATTTTAAAACCGTTACTTAAAGAATGTAATAGCATTAATTTAAATATATAAACTTACAAGTTTTTTTTGATAAAAACTTACAAGTTTAATGATAATTTAAGGAAATATATTTTAAAATAAATGTTTGGATAATATAATTGTATTTGTGATTTTAGTATAAATCAGTACAGATAATACAAATCAGTGCAAATAATTCCTTTTATTTATTTTTATTCTTTAATTAAGTTCAAAACAAAACTATTTAGTTATTCTCATTATTTACAACATGTTATTAAAATAAGTGTTCAAATTCATTGTAGAGGTATTATTTAATACAATATTTGTTACTAAATTTATTCCAAAATTTATTCTATTAAAACAAAAGTACAAAAAATTTCTTGTTTTTTCTTAACTAATTACTTACATATTTTCTTTCCTTTAAACTAATTTTAACCAGTTCATTTACGTTTTTTTACGAATTTTAAATTTTAAATTTTTCTAACTATTTCCTTAATTGTCTTTAACATTATAATTCGATAGAATTTATTTTATGTGTTAAACATAACGATTCATCAGGTTTGAATGAAATTGTTTGAGAACAAAAATTTGAAATGATTAACAATACTTTTTTTTATCTATTACAAAATCAATTAGAAGTGAGTATTAAGGTATCCGTTCGGATTTTTTTTTTTTTGAGCAACATCCCATTCGGATATAGTCGCTTATTTCAAATATCAGATTTTTAATTTTAAATTAGATTACGTTCCGGTATTAAGAAAACCCCAAAAATATTTAAATAATTAATATAGAATTAATTATATGCTGACACATCTAAATATATAACTCTAATCATTAAAAATAAATATAAATTTATAAAAAAAAAAATCCGTACAGGTCGAAGTTCTAGTATAGACTATTTATGGAGTGACAAGATTGCATGTCTTCATTATCCGGATGTTCATAACTCGTTTAAACATCTACGGAGTTAATGGCTAAATCTCATCTTTTATCGTTTATTATCGGAAAAAAAGTTTCTAAGAGCCGCAGCATTAAAGGTTCTTAGAGCAGGTTCACACGCATCTCAAGACAAATAGTAGTGAACTCACCTTGTTTCGCCCCTCTGCGGTGAACCCGCTTCACAACTTTTTTGCAGGCTCCATGCCACGTGACGGCCCGCTATTAATCTAATTTTAACTTTTTTTTTAGAAAAAGTAAACGAAAAATAATAAAATAAAAATTTAAAAACACCACGTGATGAACCTGTATCAAGGTTTATTGATGTTGCTGCTCTAACTTCTCCTAGATTGTAGTACGGTATATATATATATATATATATATATTTTTTTTTTGTCAACTCAATGTAGTACGGTATATATATATATATATATAATTATATACATAATGCTGGAAAATTGATTTAAAACCGTGGGTCCCGCTCTGCTTAACCCATAGTGGAGCAGGTGTGGTTTTAATTGTTTCTTGTCTTTGATGTATGGCAGATGCGATTTGCATATTTTGGATACAAGACAGGTCTGAGTCAAACATTTTAAACCACCGAATCCGCCAATCTAAATTAGTTTTACATAATAATTATTTTATCTAGATTTTATTTAAAAATATTATATAGTATATAAATATAACTAATTAAAATTACTTTTTAATAATATGCATTTTAATAACATACAATATATATAGTATTTAAAATGAACTAAAAGATATAAAAACGTTACAAAAAGATATAAAAACTAAATTTATCTTATCTTTTTTTTTGAACCACAAAAAAAAACTAATTTATCAAAGAACTAAAAAAAGAAAGAAAACCACTTTCACAAGAATCGAATGTTGGAAAACAAAACCAACAACTTGAACATAAAATTCTATCATCTTTCTTTTCTAATTCTCCAAAGCTAAATCAAGTTTTCCTATTACATAAGTCCCATGGGCATAAGTAAAAGACATACGTAAAAACAGTACAAGTCATACAAAGATTCTCAAACCTGTTTCAGCAAACACACTATTTGGTAAAAGAAGTTACAGAGATAGAGAGAGGCATCAAGGGCCAAAACGTTTAAAAGAACATGTCACCTTGAGTCCTTTCCGAGAAATAAATAGATGCACCATTCCACTCTCTCAGGCACGTTCATCATTCACGTGGTTTGGGACTTCAGGTTGGCTGTCCAATGGCATGTACTGTGCCATTATTGCTCTGATCTCTGAGTCCATGTATTGCTGTGAAACAAAGGACACAGGAAAGTTCAAAAGAAATTCCCCAAGTAACGGATATGGAGGAGAAAAAAAGCTTACCCTTAATCTGTATTTGTAAACGAGGTACGCCCCAGCAGCTGCAAGTCCCAATGATAACATGATAAGCCAAACGGCCGCCCACGCCGACCTCACTTGTGAACCGGTCTTGCCTATATTTCAAACAAAAGAACTTGAGCGAAACTTGCTGAAGTGTATGCTTAAACTCTAGACTTCCAAGTGTATCAAAACTCACTGATGCAAGTGTCATGGTCTCTCATGTAGAGAAGGTCACCACTACAAGAGCATTCATAGCTTCCCCAAGTATTCTTGCAGCTACATTCCGGACACTGACATGCTTTCTTCTCTTTGCACTCATTGATGTCTGTTGAAGCAAGTATTGAAATGCTTAAAACAATGACTAAGAAGTATTGTTTAATACAAGTTTAACAAAAACTCCAACCTTCACACTTCTTAAAACCGTCTCCTTTGAATCCTGGAGGACACTCGCACTTAACACTGTCCTTGTCCTAAAGGCATTATAAGTTGAAACATGGATATCTTATTATACGGTGGAACTGTGCTAAAAAATGAAGCAATGTAGAGAAAAAAAACACTAACCACACAAGCAGAGAACGCATGTCCATCTCTCTCTTCATGCCAACATCCTCCATTGTTGATCGTGCATCTCCCTGGCCCGCTCGCTGCAATGCAAATACCAGTTAAAGTTTGAAATGTGACATCCAACAGAAGCACAGTAGCAAAACACAACCGCATAAATATCACTCACGTTCACAATGGCTGTATCCATCCCCTTTGAATTGCACACCATCAACTCGAGGACACTCACATACTCTTCCACGGAAGGTATCCTGCAAATTGAGAAGATTAGTATATAACAGAATAGTACATTATGAATATCACGAATTGCACACCACAATATACCTTGCAAGCAGTTATGTTGGCTGACTTATCTTGCCAACATCCACCATTGTTATCTAAGCACTCGTTTGACTCCATCTCTGTTAACGAAAGGTATTAAAACGTGTGATCAAGCATGAGGCATCCAAAATAAACTCTTGACTTTTGAACAGTCAAGTCCTAGTCAAAACTCAAAAGCTTTGACTAGTTAGGATCAGCTTTGGATAGTTAGGATCAGGTGAACTCAAGCTTTGGATACTTCAAACCACAAAGGTTCACCAGATCGGATACATTGAAATTAAGTGAACAACAATATACTCTGAGTCAAGATCAACAGATTCAACACGTTAAAATAAACGAACCAACACTGCGTACCTGTGCTTAGGCATATAGCTGGTTCAGTCGTCTCCTCAAAACCAGAACACAGAGCCTTGAGAACTGCACCCTTCTCCAACTTTCCTGCAAAGAAACAATTATTTAACAAGTTAAGTACAAGGTCTTGCAAAGTCTAAAGTGAGAACACTGCAAGACAAACCTCGATACTGTCTGTTGTTGACAACCAATGTAGGCAATATGGTAACATCACCCCTTGAACCCTTGCCAACCTACAATAATATATATATGTCAATCCCAAACTGATCAATCGTGTTTCTCAAAACTAAGAGATGCATGCAACTTCTTACCTGTGCATCTTGTTCTTCCTTTAGAACTGGATTGTCTGAATCAGCATTAGGGTCTCCCATACACTTGTCAAGTTTTCTACTATCAATTCCTGCAAACACATTGAAGATATGCCTTAATTCTCCTGGAAAATTAAACAAAAAAAAAAACTTTTTTCCAACAAAAAAGAATTAGGGACACTCACCAAGAGATTTGATAACAGAATCAGCACATTCTTTGTTGTATTTCTTCTCCTTCATGGGGCATCTAATCTGAAAATCAGTGACATAATCCCACCAGACCCATGGTTTTCCCGTTTCATTCGCCACCTTGAAAACGCAAAGCTGTCTCAAGTTTTCCACAACCACGTCTTTACCATCGTACCCTGAGCTAAAGTCCTGTTCTGGATCAGGGGCGCAGTATCTCCCCTTGTTGATACACTGAGACTTACACTGTCTGCTCAACGTAAACGCGTGAGGACAGTACCAAGTGATGTAATGAGGTCTAAACTGCGTGTAACCACCTTTCTCCAGAATCTGAGCAGCACCCTTGAAATCCTTCACAAACTCCATCAACATATCACACTTAACCCCACACTCGTCATTGCTATTAGTCCAGAGTTCATACTCAACACGAGCATCAGGGTGAGGAACAGCTTCTCTCCAGTCGAGATTTAAGTTGACCATATCACCTCCACCAATTGCTTTCTTCAGCTTCTCACCAAAACTTTTGGTGACAAGAGCAGAAGGGATGGTGATATTCTCAATGTATTTAGCAGAGGCAACATCCTCTTCTGGTGTGTCCATAGTAATCAAAGGCTCATCAACATTGTCTGCCACAAGTACAGCAGAAGCTCCAGCTTTCTGCGCGTTCCAGACCTTCAATGCGAAAAAACAATCTACACAACAACAAAACATAACCATCCGTTAGGCTAACGAGTAAATATGTTCAATGTTCAAGAAATCGTTAGACACCTTATAGAGGATTAATGTTTAGGCGGACAACTAAAACGATTTTTTTAAAGTCTAGACCGATTTAAAAAGAAAAAAATAGTTCATTCCGGCGGACAGAAACCCAACCTACTAATCCTCTGGGGCCTATGGTTTCTCTACGTGGGAGTTAAAGACCCATGCCACATGATGAGCTAACAATTTCGCACTAAGGCCATGATTATTTGAAGTTCTTAAACCGTCTCTTACCTTTTAACTAAGAAAAACTAAGAACCTACTCTTAAATATCTTTATTTCTAGGACAGTAAATATATATATGCAGACCAGTAAAATTAAGTCAATGTTCTGTACAAAACTTGAACTAATAAAGAAGAAAGGCATTACAATATTTAACTAAATCTAACATCTAACTTTGTAAGATCGATCTTCAACTGTCTGAATCAACAATTAAAAAAAACTGATGTTACCTCCACGATCGACCAATAGGAAGGTAGGGAGAGCACCAGGCTGAGACTTGAAAGAGATTGAGAAATCGCTAAACTCTTTACACGATTTCTGATTCTCCTTGGGATAAACAACCGTACCGGCCATGCTTCCTCCGTACTGAGGGATCCCGAAGTTGCCGATCGCACAGTCGTGAGCTCCCTTTATGCTGTCCGGTGACGTCACCGATAAGCTGTTCTTCTCGACGACGAATCGAGATTCGCAGAGAAAGGGTATGGAGAGAAGCAGGCACGGAAGGAGAAGGAAACAAAGGAGATGCTGCTTCATCTTTCGAGATCTCCGCCTGCCTCAAACACAAGGATTCGAAAGCACAAATTGGGATTGAAGAGATTCGAAAGAAGAAAGGTTTGATGGGTTGAAGTGAGTCGTTGTCTGGTCTGGTTTCTGGTTGAAGGTGGGGGTAAGTAATGCGATTTGTGAGTGTTTCTCGAGAAAACGCAGATAAAAATTAGAAAATAATGTTTTCTTTTTTTCTTCTTTTTAATTTCACGTTTCTGGTGCGACTAGAAGACTTTAGGTGACGCGGAGTCAAAACAATATAAACCTTCTTTGGGGCCAATCGTAAGACAAAGCACCCAAAATGAGTTTTTCTTTGTTATATCTTATTTCATACCTTTTAAAAAAGGAACACAAAAGGAGAAATTTATCAAGTTATATTCTATTTTAAAAATAAAATGATAAAAATAAAATAAAAAATAGTAGCAATAACAAAAAAAAAATAGAAAAACTATTTTAATATCATCATCAAAACACTAAACTTTAAATCATGAATATTAAATCCTAAATTTTTGGTTAAATTCAAAATCCGTGGATGAATCCTAAATTTTTGGGTAACTCTTAAATCTTTGGATAAATCTTTTAACCATAGAGTCTATAATTTATTCAAGGATTTAGAATTTAGAATTTAGAATTTGGTGTTTATTATTTATAACTAGGGTTAAGGCCACCCTACGAATGGGTGAACAAATTAAAAATCACAAAATTATATTTTAAACTAATCATATTTAAAAAAAATTATTAGTGATTGAAAATAATTAATTTCCAATATTTGTTTTTGTTGTTCTTGTTAAAAAGTACATGCTTGTAATTTTTTTAATTAATGTATTTTTTTTTGTAATTTTGTTATGTTTTTTTATTATAATTTTTTTTTAAAGATTTTTAGTTATTTTAATTTTTTGTTGTATAATTAATTATTTTTTCTCTAGTAGTTGATCCGTGATTTGCATGAATTTGTTTTCGATTAGATATTTTGTTTAACACTTGCTTTTATTTTGAAATATTTTATTATCATTATATATGAATTATTTTATTTAATTTCTATTTGTATCAGTCTCTATTAAAATTGTTTAATGATTTGATATTCGATCTTACTCTCGTTGCAAAAACTTAATTTCATAATAAAATTATTGATATACTTTAGTGAGACTAAGACTATTTTTATTTTCGAACTATAGATTTTTTGGTGAGTTTGTTTAATTTTAGATTATATAGTTTGATTTCTACGATTATTTTTATCTTATTTTATATAGCATCTCTTTTGTGTTTTATAAATAGTCTATTTTTAATTTTTCATGTCCATATTAAATTTATGCTTGAAAATTTTAGGGAATTCTTAACATAAGATTTCTCTTTTATAACAATTATTTAGATATATAATAATCTTTGACCTATTGTTATCATAAGAAATTTTTTTATCGTTTTTCCATTATTATTTTATCTGTTATATATTATTTTATGTTTTCACTAATTGTTATTGAAATCTTCATTTTAGTTACGTATTATTTGGCTGTAGGTTTTCATTAATTTCTTGTTAACAATCAGGTATCAAATTTTTTTCATTGTGTTTGTTAGCTGCTAATTTCTCCAAATTAAAATTTAGTAATGAACACACAATGCCTAATATGTATAAGTATAACTTAAAATTCTGGTATAACATGTTTATACTTCAAACTAGGTCAGAAATCTGAAAAGTTCAGTAGATATGGGCCTAATAAATGTTGTTTTCTTAACTAAAGAGGTTTTATTATTGAACCGAAGGGAGAAAGGGGCATCCAACATCCGAAAATTGGGGTTGCTGCGTGTTACATCAAATCCGCTCAACCTGTAAACTGACCATTCCTTGAGACGTTCCCTAAATATGAATTGACGGTTCACATTAACAGAACCTTGAATAACTGTGGACTGTTAGAAAGGACAAATTCTTTTTTTAGACAATTATAATGGAGCCAATCGTCAACAACGTTAATCCGAAAGGAAATGCTTACCTTCTTGTTGATGAGGAGCATATCTAGACTCATGAACTCACCGCCTTTCCTCACATTTCTGGCCTCCCAAAACCTCAGCAAGTGAACTTTGGTGGTGTTGGAGCAGCGTCTGACTTTCAAATCGACAAGGACGATAGAATAAATCACCATTGTAGCAATCGGAAAGTTGAACAAACTTTTTTTCTAATGCTCGTCAAAGCTGTGATGTTGATGTCTGCAAAAAGGATATATATACTCACACCTCTACATGGTTATTTTTGGGATACGATAAGGTGGTTTCAATGATCCAGAGTGGCTTAATCACTTATAAAATAGAAGGAAAGAAAGTGTGAATAAAGCGTGCATCGAGACATAACGATGAGTTAATAATTTGCTTGATAGCTACAACCATCGTCGGCTGATCTAAGGATCTCAAACGAAGATGACGAACAAATCAATAATATTAAAGGATCTCAATAATCTGAAAGTTTAAACACAATCTACAACAATAAGATTGCAAAACAAATATGCATTTTACCAATAATATATGTTTTTCTAAAATAATATAATTTTATTTCTAAAACCTAACATATAATTTCTTAAACTTTAATGAGGTGACACATGACATTTTTTACCCCCATGAAAAAAAAATCTAACTTTATTATTTAAGATTTAGTGTTTAAGATTTATCTAAGGTCTTAAGATTCACCCAAGGATTTAGGAATTAATATTTACAATTTAAGATTTAGTGTTTAACGTTGAAAAAATATTGAAACAAAATTATTTTTTGGTAATTATTATTATTTTTATCTTTTTATTTTTAAAATATAATATAATTTAGTAATTCTTATTATTATATTTTTCCATATGAAATAATAAACTAATATTGATTGATGAACCAACATGTTCACTTTAGAAAATGTACCCAACAAAAAATCGAAGAAAATTACAAATCCACTCGAAAGAGAATAGTACAACTGGGACAGAATTCATTAGACGGGCTCTACTAAAGGAAGTATTTGCTTCATTTATATTAAAAACTCACACACACAAGAATTAAAAGAGGTTTCATTAAAAAATTAAATGCAATTATACTTTTACTTTATAGATATATAATATAAATAAATATTTAAATGAAATATAAAAATTGAATTTTTTTTATTCATTTGCAATACTTTGCAAAATAAAAAAATTGGAATCCAATTTTTTTAAAAAAATATGTTAAATTGTTATTTTAAATTTTATCTGAATTATAAACTTAAAAAATAAAACTCCTTCCCCAAAACCCGGCCCCCTCCCTCCGCCAAAACCTCCATTCCAAAATATAAGGGAGAATTTTACTGGGCGTCGACAAAAAAAAGGGAGAATTTCACTTTTACATTTCATTTAGTACCATTATCTATGCTTACATTCTGTAAATAGACATTTTCAAAAATACCTAACTATCAGACTTCATTAAGAAAACAAAAGTTATTTATACACTTGATTTATAAATATAAATAATTATTTAAAAAAATTAAAAATAATATATTTAAAAAACTCTCGAATTATGACTTTTTAAATTTGATTTTTTTTTAATTGTTTTTCGATTTTATTATAACAAATTTTCAGATATTATTTTTCAATTTCGAAAATACTTTTTGAAACTATTTTTAAAATTTTTATTTTATTGAATTATTTATAAATATTTTTATTCAAATTCTAAACTTTGGACTCTAAAATTTTCTTCCATCCTCAAATCTAAACAAAAATAATTAATCTTTGGGTTATAAGTGTCTATTTATCTTCTTACAATCAAAGATAAATGTGGTTAAGGTGAAGTTGAAAAAAAAAATACTAAAAAGTACTATTTTAGGCAATTTCCCAAAATATAAAGACTAATTCTAAGAAAAGTTGTTAAAAATATATACATATATATATATATCAAAATTTTCAAATGGATATAATTTTTTTGCCAATTTGTTATCCATCATTGGTTGTTTTGTGACATTTTAAATGATAATCAAAATAATTTTAATGATATAACAAATTTATTTCCAAATTTTTTAATATTCACTGAAATAATTTTGAGCTTGCCCTGTAAAACAGAATAAAAATTATTTAGATCTTACAAATTTTAAAATCACAAAATTGTTTTGTTTCAACCAATTTTTAACTCTAGTTTTTGTTGTTGCTTTTGTTCTCTTTCTTTGAGCTTTGGATTTCTTTTTGAGCTAATAGTGTTTAGTTTGATGTTACAAATAAAATTCCAAATGTCAGAAAAAAATTAGCAAAATTTTAAATCATAAATCCAAATCTTTAAATCCTAACTTTAAAAACTTTGTTGAAACACATCATCACCGAACCTTACCGCAACTTTCTCTCCTTTGTCGTGTGCACAAAAGTATCCGCATATGGAATGTGGATTCGTGAGAGTGAACCGTGAGAAGATGATACATTCCTAAAAACGTTAATTTCTAGCAACACCTTAAAACAGAACTCTTTTTTTTATAGCACAAAAGCAGTTTACGAAGGTTTTTTTTTACCACTTCTCGACTTATATGTGTCGTCTTTAGGCTAATATTTCGTACGTTTTCCTAAATATAAAGGTCTTATTGACTAGTATTTCTGACTACATTTTTTATTAAAAAATGATATTGGTGATTACATTTCAGCTAAAAAACAATGGTCATTGTCACGTGCCGAAAGAGGCAAAATGAAAAGTATAATACTTGTCACAGTAAGATCTCGATTTTGATTGTCACATGCATTCTGTGAATGTATATTTTATTGCATTAGTCACACTGTTCATAAATATACAATGATGCCATTCAGATTAGTAAACTGAACCATTAATCTCCACGACTAAACCACCCCAGATAAAATATATCTTGTTCTGTCTCATTCACTATGACACATTCCTTACAATTGTATAAAAGGGATGCTATAAAGGAAAGTATTCTGATATACCCCAGTTGGAAAATAAATATTCTAACTACCCCACCATTTTTCTCACTGCCCCACTTTTTTTTTTGTTCGTAGTAATTTCTAGTAATTTAAGGTAGTTTGTTTTTTGTTCATAGTAGTTTCTAGTAATTTAAGGTAGTTTCTAGTAATTCAAAGTAGTTTCTAGTAATTCATATTACACATAATACTGATTCATTAAGGGTAATTGATTTTTTAACCATACTTAGACTTTGAGCAAAAAAAAAAAAAATCAAATTTATGATGGGTTAAAATAGAATGAAGATGGTAGTGAGTAGTGATGGCAAACGGGCCTTCCCGTCCCGGCCCGGCCCATACCGCTGCGGGCTTCACTTCATGCGGGTCGCGGCGGGTCGTCCCGCGATGTCCCGCGGTCTCCATATGGGCTGCCCAATACCGCCCCGCAAAACTGATGGGCTTTTGCGGTCAAGCCCGCGGGTCTTCACCTCCTTGCAGTATTAGTCTTGTTTAAAGCATCTACACTACATGCAATATAACATCACGCATTGAATTGTGTTTGTAGTTTAGTAAAGATGACTCAACTTCCACAAATTGACCAAAGCAAGAATCTTGATCTAAGCTACAATACTTCATGATCTGTTCAACTTGAACTTCACTCAAAAAGTTTATGATACGTTTCTTTACTTTACCAAAGCAAGAATCATGAAGTATTGTAGCCTATATATTTTTCATTACATTCGTAAAGTAAAGATGACTCTAGTAACATGCTAATGATCTGTTCAACTTGAACTTCTCATTCCACAGCTACACAATGTACGTAAAGTAAAGATAAGTGAATCAAATGTTTTTCATAAATTCAAAGTGCATAACCAATGTTTAAAATTGTTAAATCCAAATTTAAATAAAACCAAACACCAAGTGAAACTGTGAAAGCTTCCAGTCCCAAAAGTAAATAAAAAAAAACACCAAAACATGACAATAAATCACTCTTCTTGTTCTCCAACTTCACCAGCCACAATTGATTCAAATGATGGGAGTGTCTCTACTTCCTCATTAACTTCATCTTCTGCAAGTGAGTTACTGAAGTTAGTAACTATATATTGAAACATAAGACTCCAAAATATATGATAATGTGAACAATTTACCATGTTCATAAGCTTCATATCCTTTTAGTCAATTCCTACTGCATATCAGAGCTTGCACATTTTTTGGAAGTAGACGGCTCCTATTCTTGTTAAGAACTCGCGATCCAATACTAAATGAGGACTCTGAAGCCACTGTTGTTATAGGAATACTAAGTAGATCACAAGCCATCGCAGACAAGTCACCAAACCGATGAGCATTATCTTTCCACCAATTGAGAATGTCTAAGCTCCGAAAGCTAGTCATGTCCAAAGGTGGTTCATCAAGATAAGATTCTAGACCTGTTTTTCCATTAACAATGCCACTGACTTTGCGAAATGCCAAAAAATCCTATACAGAATTAAAAAAAANCTAAGTAGATCACAAGCCATCGCAGACAAGTCACCAAACCGATGAGCATTATCTTTCCACCAATTGAGAATGTCTAAGCTCCGAAAGCTAGTCATGTCCAAAGGTGGTTCATCAAGATAAGATTCTAGACCTGTTTTTCCATTAACAATGCCACTGACTTTGCGAAATGCCAAAAAATCCTATACAGAATTAAAAAAAAAAGTTAGCTATTATTTTAAATTGAAAACAGAATGTAACTTATGGAAAAAAACCACTCACATCATAGTTCTCAAACTCCCCTTCTGTTCCAACAGCAGCAACGTTCTGTTGAACCGTCTCTCGTGGCTCTGTGGAAGGTGAGTTTAACTTTGATTTTTTGTCGTAGGTTGCATAAAGCTTACCAAGCTTTTTTTGCAACTTCTTCATCTTGTCATCACGGGTACTCATGTCCAGCTTCCCAAAACAAAAATCGATCATAGGAAGCTTCATACGTGGATCAAAGACAGCTACCATTGCGAAAACAAGACTGACTTCATTCCAATACTTATCAAACTGTTCTTTCATCGGTGGCACCATTTCTCTAACAATCTCATCTTCGCTTTCCACATTCATTTGAAGCCAATCATGGATCTTCCAAACCTGATAGAAATACAAGTTTGCAGTCGGGTAATGAGAACCTGACATCAAACGTGTGATCTCAGCAAAAGGCCTCAAAAAACGGCATATTTTCTCAGCTCGTGTCCATTCTTGGGTTGTCGGTGCCGTTTTATAAC